AATTATATCAAAGCTGAACTAAAGTGTTGTTCTTTTTTATGCTTTATTCATTATTTTTTTTCAAGACCTTTTAAATTTCTCTAACGACACAAATTTAGAGATACAATTTTCCGAATTGAGAGAAAATCTTCACAGAAGCCTATTGTATAGGAGAGGTCAAAGACGGCTTTTGAAAGGGAAGAAAGAGCTCGAGGGTATTGGAAAAAGAGTGGAGAAGATTCGGATTTCCGATCAAGTCGAAAGCCAAACGAGGTGTTGCGATGGGAAAAGGTATGTGTTGCGACTTGGCTCTATTCTATAACGATGGAACAATGTGTGGGCGGGTTCCCTACTAGATTGGCCAGTTTCCGCGTCCTATTCACGACTCCCCTTTCCTCTGATCTCTATCAGCTTTGTATTTGCGCGAAGGAGCTTGGGAATTTCGACACAGCAATGTTGTTTGTGTGATGATACACACACGGTGACGTATGTCCGGGTGGTACATTCATCATCAAGCCACATGAAAGGACAGAGAGTGAGCAAAGAGCAAGAGAGAGATGCAGTGATGGTGATAGACAGTTTACTAGGGATGTTGTTTCGATACTATGACACTTCTAGTGCTATACTAGTGTCGTACGTCAAATGCTCGGCCAGCCGGGTGTCAGTTATGACATGAACAAGCTTCTTTATTTATCTATGTATACATACTTGCTCAGTTCGATTCTGCATTTTTATATTTAATTTTCAGCTTCATTTACTCAAGCACACGCTCTCATTCTTCCACCCTTTATGTTCTCTTCAAAAGAAAAAAAATACACTAATGAATAATTACATTAAAAAGAATGAAAAATTTAATTATTTAATCATAATATTTCATTCTTTCTCATTGACAAAAATATATCATTTTGAATTATTATTGAGTTATTTTTGGTAAAATTTCAAATCAATTCTGTTACAACTTTTATTTCTATAAATCATTTTTTATCTACTGAAACATACATTACTGAAATATATATTATTTATGTATGTTTTTTATTAACATTTAATATTAATGATAAAGTATTGTTATTTTTTATTATTTGCCATGAAAAATTAAAAGTAATTGAAAGACAGAAAAAAAATAAAGTTTCTCCTTTAATTAACATATTTTTCCTCATACTACCTGTCAGATGGGGAATATTCATTAATTTTTATTTACCATACTGCTGCTATTTCTGTTTTATCTTAAAGTTCATAATATGCTTGAAAAAAATAAAGTAAATAATGAAAATCCTTTTATGTACATATTGAAAAGGGTAGACGTTTTAAAGAGGCCCTTAAGAAAAGTTGGAGAATAATTCATTATCCTAATTCAAACATTGAAAGTTCTAGGGATCATTTTGGGCTGGACTATAAAAAAAAATAATAATAAATCGAATAAAAGATGAACTAGACATAAACCTGCAAGAGATGCTGCTATTAAACGGGTATGTGCACGGTGCCAAGTACCGGCAGTAAATTCTTGACCACAACGAATCGGTGATCGTCCACAGGTCTCTTGGTTTCGCTTCTCTCAACAGCGTTCGCTTGTCGAGTGCACGAGCCATGAACTCACAATGGGTATCAAGGTGCGGCAGTAACAACGTCAATAATAGCATACTTTACCAATAATAGAGGATGTCGTATCGTTGTGGAATGTTGGCTGGCATAAGGCGTAGATCCCAAAAGCGTAATCACCAAAAGCTTTCAGTTACTAGTGCTTAGAAACAAGACACCTCCTTTTTCCTTGATCCACTGGTGTCGGCATGTTTCGGTGTCCATGTGCGCGCTTTCTGTTAAAGGTGGTGAACCCCGGACATCGATACAGCTCTCTCTCCACCATTTTACCACCCCACTTCTCGTGCTTTTCACCAAAGTATTCGTTTACTCCACTCTCCCAGTCCTTCTCATCATCATCACACGCACATTAAGCATTTCAAGCAGCTTTCTCTTCAAGTCCTTTACCATAGGTACTGTCGTGACACTCCCTCGGTGTTGAGCTGCCCCTCAAACCAACAGTTTCCTACTCTCCAAATGTTCTGTATGTTACCAAAGCAAACGATGTTCAGCCCTTGGAAACTACCAAAATAAAAGAAAAATAAGTAAAAACAGAATCAAAGTCGTTATTATACAAATTATGACTTGCCGATATCAACTGCTGACTTTTCTTATACGTTAAATGTGTTTGTTTATAAGAACTTTTTCTGAAGTTAAGAACTTTTCTAACAAAGCTTTGCATTTGTTAAAATGGAGCATTCAATTTAGAAAGTGACACTTTCATTTTTTTGGTAGAATATTGTAGAAAAAAAACTGGTCAAATATTTTATCAACATGTAATAAAAAATCAAGTTTATCACAATTGCTAGACTGAGACCAGGTGGTAGTAGATGATGACCAAGTTCACATATTCTGTATTTGTCTCAAATAAAAGAATAAAATATTTTTATAATCAGCAAGATTGTTGCTATCATATGTGGTAAGATTAGAACGATACATGAATTATGAATTTTTTTTTCTGATAAAAGTTTGAAAAATTTGTCAATTTTTTTGTTTTATGTCACCATTTTATGTGGCTTTAAAAACTGCAACTACAGGAATTTATGTATGTATTTTTTTTATTGCACTTTTCAAAGAACATACTGAAAAATGAACAAATATGTGGTAAAAAGTTTTAGGTTTTGCACTTATTTTCTAACAAAAAAATTACTTCTGTGAGTAATTTACATTGAAATTTTGACTGACTAAATTTTGTGAATAAATAATTTTAAAAAAGTTATAATGATCGAAGTCTTTATTGTCTTGCTAAATTGACAAACTATTAGTTATAAATTAGAAGAGCAAGATTATAAAGAAGAGCAAAGAAACTTTAAATAGAAAACTTTCTTTACAAGTATCTCTATTTTTCCATTGTTTATTCTCAAAAAAATGCTTCATATTTTTTTTATATAATTCAATAATAATAAAAAATAATTACACCAATGTAGTAAAGTAAATAATTATTTTCTTTGTTGCATTTTTTTTAATAAATGAAATTTTCTTGTACCTTTGTTTAACAGACATGAATAATGAATTATGAAAGATTCACAACTCCATCTATAAACTGACTTTTATAAGAAAAACGCCTTTGTTTATTTTAAGAATCATTTTCAGTATTTTTCTGTTTATAAAATAAACATGGCATTCTTTTATTTAGTTTCTCTTAGTAAGAGCAATCGAAAAAATAAGAAAGAAGGTAAACAAAAAGTTGTTACAAAACAAATTATGAATCACCGATATCGATGGCTGAAGAATTTTCCGCTGAATGGGGAGAAAAATATTTTTTCTTTAATAATAAACGATTCAGGTAACTTTTCTTTCTCCTTTCTTTATGAAAGATCGGCAAAGTTAGTCAAGAGAGAAAGAGAAGGGGAGGAGGTCGTTTGCAATTAGTGGATGCATAACTCAATACTCCAGTAAATTGGCTCAAGTGGTTTTCGTGGATGAAAATAGAACTCGAACAAGGTGCTATGGGGTAGGAGAAGAAAAAGAGTCAAGGAATAAATTATTTTCAGGGGGAAGGGGACCTAAGTCCTCTCTTATCGTTTGCTCACGAAATGCTTCCTCTACCTATTTTTGTTGTCGACCCGGATCTCTACGATAACTTTTCCGGAGGTCACCTCGCACGACTCTTGGGGTCAAATCCGGAATGCTCCGTGTAACTCGAACCAACTCTCTCTACATCCGTTATGGTCGACCAAACTTCCCTCTGGTGGTTGGGTTACTGCTATCGGTGTATCGCTTACCATTCCTCGTATACAAACCTCCACCACTTCTACTCTTTCTCTCCACACTCTACCACCAAGACCACTGCCTTCTGCCGCTTTCCCAGAGCCACCCAAGCTGCCTAACGAATCGCGGCCGGTTATTAAAAGGATTGGGGGATACTGTCGCGCGATTATCCCATTGTACGCGCGACGTATTAACCACGAGCTGTGGATACTCTGGTGGTTGGCTTTCAAGCATGAAAATTACAGCACGAATTTCTCATTAACCAACTGTTTTATACACTTCTACGGAAATATACTGCGGTTTTAAGTAACTGGATTAGATTATGAGCTTAAGATTAAGTGAGAAAATATTAAATTATGGTATATACTTGGACTTAATTTATTTTCAAAGAGAAACAAGAGAATACTCCACTTAGATAATTTTTCGTTTATGAAGCGAAATTATTATCTTGATACTTCTTATCTTTTTTATGTTGATGTTTGAAATATAAACAAACTAAATGAAGTAAAAAATTAATTTGAGCTTTTTTAATATTTATTTCTAAATTTATTTGTTACTTTTTTTTTTATTGTTGAGTAATTAAATATATTTTATTTTCATATAATTGACTATTAAAACAACTCAAAATTTTTTTTCATACACATAATTTCTTATGAATAAACATCACCTGTTTCCATTATTATATATGTATACGTATATTGTTAAAGGAGTAAATTAATTGACAGTAAAATTTTACGAATTGTCGTATATTTTGACCTTATCTATAATTAATAACCATCATAATCGTAATTATAATGCTTTTCATGTGATAAACGCTTGACCACAAGAATAAAAAATAATACATTTAATAAAATGACGTATAATAATAATAATAATAATTAATTTTAATAATATATAAAAAAATTCATCACTACCATCTTTGGGAGAATATATATAGAAAGGCAGACGTCCAACTTTTGAAGAATAAGAAGGACCGCAGGATTAGAAAATCAAGTTATTTCATTTTTAAAGTAGATGAGAGACCAAATAATTGAGACATGGAGGAAAATAAAAAAGAGAATAAGAGTAAAAGGGAATATAATGGGGGAAATTGAAGCAAGATATAGCAAATTATCGTAATTGGCTATTGTAGAAAGGCAGTTAAAAAGGTATTTTGCAATATAAAAATGAATTTAGGAATGAGGAAATCCTGATAGCAAGGTAATTCATACAACAATGTAACGATAATTTCTGTGTTAATCCTTAATAACTCCCATTCTAATCATTTTCACACTGAGGTTATAATCATCCTTACTTGCGCATTTTTTTTCGTTTTTTTTTATCATTTTTTTTTTCCTCTTTTGTTCTCATTATAAAACAGTCTTTCATTATCGATGCACCAAAAAAATCCCCAAATGTCCGGACGTCCCTCTTTGTTCTTTTTTCTCATTCTTTTTTAATGTTCTTAATCAATTTGTGATTTATTAAAAAAATTTTTTACGCTTGGACATTTTATAAATATAATCAATTAATTGTCCGTACAAGTTTCTAATCACAAATTATAACGGATTGCCAGAAGCGGCAGGTCTCTAAAGGTCTTACTACTACGTATCAGGTATCGAGGTATGGGCCTCCGATCGATTACGGTGCGCGTCGGTCCAACGCTACGTGCTCGTACATATAATACCAGTATGTACAAGTTATCCAAGACAAGATAAAAGAGACGCCATCCCTTTATTATATTATTTTATTGTAAAAATTATTTTCATTATTATCATTATGATAAATTAACATTAATCTTATTATAATCATTATCATTATTATTAATAATTATTTATTATTAGTGTAATAGAAAATTTTTTTATATTATTCAAGTTAAAAAATTACTTGGATCACGTAAAATTGGATCGTCGTAGCTCCGATTAACTAAAGCAGTGGTTATTCAATACACTCCAATAGTCATTCAAGATATTATTGCACGTAACTGCATATTGAACATCATTTAGATGCGTTATATCCTGTGATACATAGTCACTTCATCTACAGTACCACTGCCGTTATAATATTAAATTATTGTAATGCAAGAAACTATGTAAATGTACAAATCTTCTTGCAAGTCAATATGATAAAAACATTTTTTTATTTAATTCAATATTAAAATTAAAATTTTTTTTTTATTTCATTCAACTAAAATATAAATTGATAAAAAAAAACTATATTTTAGAGCTCATAAGAGGGACGATCGAAATGGGTTTTTTTAAAAAGAATAAAAAAATTACCGTATCACTTATTCATCGAAATCCTAGCAAAATTATTCTATTTTTTTTCTTTTTGTAAAAATGCGATCAGTAGTCATAATCACACACCATTATCATCATCAATCTTCGTGACATTACTATTATCACCAATCACTTGTCATATTCATATCAATATGTATGCCATCGTCATTATTATATTTATACTTTCGCTATGACAATGATATAATTGAAATTTTTTTAATTCTTTTTTTTTTGTTTATTTAGCCATTTTTTTAGCTTAAAATCTAATCAAACAACGTGTCAAGCCTCAGTATTTTGGGTTACGATATTTTATCATCGAGGAATAACAATAGCGAGAAGTAATATTTCATTCAAAAATACGCCAATCTTTGATTATACTTTCTCGTGTTTGAAATGTTGAATTTGTGATCGCGCCCAATTTACTTTTTTTTTAGCCTTGATTTAACTTTTGCAAACATTTACATTACGTTACGTTAAGTCTTTGATTCACATATTGGCGCGTATCAAATGTCATCAAACACAGAAACATCAATAGATAAATAACGTACAAAAAATGTTGTGTATATACTGATAAAATGCTAACATCGGCATACGTAAATTCATTTACTCTCACTCTTTCGTTCTCTGTTACACATTCTAATTAACCGACAAATGGCATTTTAAATAATACACCTGTAGCCAAGTAATCAGTCCCTGAGCTCCGTGAAAAAGTTTAATTGGAATGAAGAATACGTTGGGGTTGAGCTAGTGCAGATAAAAAATTTAAAACGATTTCCAGAGATGGTTTCAATTCTTAAAACTTATTTAAAATAACTAGGTTACTTTGTTCAGTGTTTGAAAAACAAAATAAAAATTATCAAAATTCTTTATATAGTAATTGAAAAAAATATTTATAAAATTGGAAATTAAGCCTTTCTATAAATTTCTCATTTACTTTTTGTTTTGTATTTTCTTGAATGACTCTATTGTATTAACAGTCCTGGCCGTAATACGTAGAAGAATTCAAAGCAGGGCACGCCAAAAAACACAGAAATCGTTTTACCAAGATGTTAATACCATTCAAAGGATCGGAGCTAATTCTTCGTAAAGATAAACGCGAATTAACAGGTTTCTCACTATCATAGTTATCCTCATCGTTTGCAAAATACTGTGGCTCATCTTGTTCTTGATTATTGTGGCGATTGCGACGTTGGTAACGATGTTGACGTTGTTCGTAACAATAGTTACGATGAAATTTTGGATTGTATTGCTGGTAGTGATGGTGGTTACGATGTATACATTCGCTGGTATCCACAACACTTGAATGTGGCAGTGAAGGATGAATGAACGAACGTTTCGGTACGTATCCTCCCGTTACGCTCGACAATTTGTATGAAACTGGTGGTACTTGCACATGTGATGATGGGGCCATGCTTGGCCTCATTCGGGATCACCAGTTAGCCATCCCTGGTTTGTTCAACGTCATGAAGTATATCTGACAAGAGCTTCCACCTTTCGCCGAAGAGAAAAATACCTGCAAAATAAATAACCATTTTTTAAAATAAATTTATCTTCGCAATATTTCACACGAAAATGAAAACCAGAAAAGCTGAGAAAAAATATCATTCAAAAATTCCATCCTAAAAATAGTTTTTACATTTTTTATCTAGAAATAAATTTTTTTCCAACTTAAATAATGATATAAACTTAAAAACTAGGAAATTGCTTGACAACGATCTCTAAGATTATAAAGAAAATGTTTAACTCCGGAGAGTAAAAAAAATAATTAGCATAATTACGGTAATATCTATGATATAAAAACTACCTTATCGTTACGTTCGCAGAGGAACTTGAGCCGTTGAGCTTTTTTGTGCATGAAAACACCATCTAGATGACCAGTTTCTACACTTCTTATTTCGATTGCCTTATTTCCCCATCCCATAATTTGGCCTGTTCCAATGTAAGCAACACTAGTAGGCATTTCTCCCCACTGTAAAACCATTGTCTTGGAAACTCTGCCATAAGTATTAACGTAGACACCTTCATTATCGTAACACAAAAGAAGTTGCATGCCATTACTATGGGGTAAAGCGACTATGCAATGAGGACAAATCGGGCCCTGAGTCTGTAAAAAATAAATTGAATTGACAATTTTTTTTCCTGAAGACAAATTGAAACGGAATTAGGAAAGTAATTTTTAAAGCATCAAAATTTATAGACTTACATGTTTCGGTAGGTAAATGTCGTAGACGGTTGCGGAATCTAAATCTACCGCATGGAAACCATCAGCACTTCCGTAGATAACTTTCAATCTTGAACCTTCTTCTACCGTAAGATCAACAAGAAGTGGTCGGTGTGCAAGCTCACCAAACGATTTAAAGGCCATGAATTTGTGATAAGGTTTTGGAGCCCAAGCGTAAATCTCTATCGAGTCTTTCAGAGCGATGACGAGGAATTTTATTCTCTCGTACTTGACTATTTTAAAGTGCACAGCACCCTGAAGGTCTCCAACATTAATCCAACCATTACGTCGTTCAACTTGCTATATAAATTATTGAGAAAAACGGGTGTTATTATTATTAATAATAATAATAGTAAAAAGACGAATAAGATTATTTCAGAATATACTTACATCACTGTGACCATCAGTTCGTAATATTTTACTTTTCAACCAGGAAAGATAATAAACCCTCACACGATTTTTCTTTCCACTTATAGTTACTAGAATATTCTGCCCTTCAAGAACTTCCATTTGTTGGAATCGTCTTCTGCTAATTAATTGATAAACTTTGCCTTGTCCACTTCGGTCGAGTAACATAAGCCCATTTTCAGTACCAATTAAGAGATTAACGCCTGCAATAGATTACATTTAAATATATTCAATAATTTATGAGGTCATTTAAGTAGTTGATAGCCAAAAAAACTTACCCCACAATGCAGCGCAAAGTATTTCACTATTAAATCGTTTTTTGTATTTTCTTATTTCTGGAGTATCTGAAGCTAAATCATGACTTGTAGGAGTGACATTAACATTGACATGTGATTCTCTTCTCGCTGGACCAGCACCAAAACCAAAGGTCAAGAAAGATCTCTGTTTCTGTTGAAGTGCAAGAGGTGCAGGTGTTTTTACAGCTTGTCGATACTGTAACAAAGTCACTTTTGTAAATTAGTGAATTCGAAATAAGTCATTGTAAATGCCGTAAAAGAAAGAGCTTGGCATTAAGTTAGACTCGAAAAACAATAGGCATAAAATTAGATTACTCAATTACTTTCAAGATTTACAACTACTCTAAAGCGTTACGCTAGTTGCACCATTACTTATTTCCTCATGAAAACTTGCTCTTATTCGATTTTAAGACATGAGTGGATTTTTTAACCTGTCTTATCATGAATAAAAATGACTTCTTAATATGATTATTGTTTTTTTTTTTTTTTTTATTTTTCTGAAAAAGGAGATCAGAACGTTTTTTAGTCGACAAAATGCAATGACCCGCGAATGAAGCAACAACATACAGTAGAAGAAGTGAGAACAAATGCCAATAATAATAACACCAGCTTTAATTATCGTAACCACTATACACGCAATTACAACCTTAGTAGGAAGAGTCACTAGAAGAAATGAGAATTAAAAGCAACATTAAATAAAGAGCATAGAACGCAAAGTAATAAAAGATGTAAAATATTTCTAAAAAATTTACATTCTAGAAAGATTTTCTCTTGTTTTAAACAATCAACATGCTAGTTTCAAATAGAAATAGTAAAGAAGCTTAGATCATACAAAACATCCAACATACTGAGAAAACATGAAACTAATGAGAAAAGTATTTTTTACAACCCCAACACTCTTTCATCATAACACAAAAATCTAATAAAAATACACAAACAGAATCAAAATAATAAAAAAGCCCAATTGTGAATCTATTTACAGAAATTAAAAAGTAAATTATAAAAAAAATAAAACACAAGGTATCTTTGGTATACTTTGAGTTTATCATTTAATTAATAAATTTTTAATTTGTTTAATTTTGTTTCAAAATTAATGTAATTTGAATAGTAAAGAAATTCCCAATACCTCTAAAATAAACATTTGATCTTCAATCAACGATCTTTCATTTTAATATTAAATTCATTATGAGTCAACACTTTGTAATATTATTTCATTAAAAATTCTTCGTCTGGGAAATGAGAATTTAAGTGTTTTTAAACATCTTCAAATTTACTCAATTTCAAAGATATTTGATTTTCAACTACTTTTTGCTGGGATGAATTTAGAAAAAATTTAGATTAAAATTAATTGAATACATCAAGTACTTGTTAGAGACCATCAGCATAAGTATTTTAAGAAAGATAAAAAATTACAGTAAAAACTTGAATGCACTTGAATGAGTGGAAATCATTAATTATAAGATCAAAAATTTATTTCATTCAAATCGATATATTTTTATTAAAAACAAAACCCTCAGAGAGAAAAATGAAGCGACACTGATCTGATGTAGATGGATAAATACTTACATTTTAATTAGTATTGGGATTGGGGTGGTCAGTAGATAAGGCCCTGCCGTTCAAGTTAGAGCTCCCGCGGTTCCCACAACACACAACATAATCGTCAATTAGTCACGTTGGAATCGATAAATAATAATTACAAGGGCCATTTTCTTAACTTTCAATCTTTACATACACATATAGCAATATGATATAGGATAATTATAATTAAATGAGTTAAAAGAATCACGCGATAAACCACATGGAAAAATGTGAAATTTAACGTGTTTTTACAAAAATGATCTGACACACCCAGAGAAATGAATGTGATTCAGAAAAATTGTGCTTGCAAATATTAATAAAAATTTCTTTGAAATATTTCTCTGGTTGTATTAGGATATTCAGAGCATATTAGCTCATTTGATTTTTAATTCGTGGCAACTAATACATATATATGAAACGTGGGATTATTCATTTGTAACATGTATAAATTTTATATACTTTCTGGGAATTCTAAAAAGACTAATGGATAAACAAACAGAGAGAAATAATAGTTAATTAACCAAATGAATCTTTTCTCTCTTTACAAAGCTAAAATAATACAAATGCAAAAGAATATTTAAGATAATGAAAATTAGAAAGATAAACAAAATTAAATAAAAATTAAATAATTCTTATGAAAATTAATTAATGATAATGAATAGTAATAAATAACATGACAATTTGAAGCGTCTAAGCTAAGAAATATTTTTCGCACCGCTTTTGCTCAAACATTAAACTACTTAATATGAACAATTAAATTAATTAAAAAATCTTTTGAAGATTTTAAAAGTTGGAGCATCTGCGGTTATAATCTCGAGTACCTTCATCAATTGTTTCAACTGAATTCTAAATTAAGACAAAACTTTTCACAAGACACACTATAAGCATAATGGAACGTATAAAACATTGATGCGGGCCTTACTATGTTCACCACGTACCTAATTGAGTGCACAAGAATGGGACGTAATTCTAAATAACTCATATGTAACATGATTTTATTGGAAAATATTTGATTTAATTTGACGATCAAAATTTCTTTATGTTTCCCGATAAAAATATTTTCATTTTATGTATAGTTTTTTTTATTTCATTGACTCTCAAAAACTAGGTACGCATTTAGTTGTATTTATAACACTATTTTTATAGTAAATAATATGATGCTGCAAGTGTGTATCGACTTTCAATTCGATATCGTTTTGATAGAAATGATAGAGGGAAACGTAAAGGGAAAGCAATTTTCATCTGCAAAGTGAATCTATAAAATTATTTTGATCGTAGGGTAATAATCAAACGTCAAAAATAGATAATTTTTTATAAAATGAACTTTAAATGTAAAAGACAAATTTTCGTAAAACTTTTATAATGTAATAAAAAAGTATTTATTTTTAAATGCAAGAATTACTACTTATCAACTGTCGGATAAAATTTATTAGAAATATTGTTTTGAGAGTAAACAACAATAATCCAAAATAACAAGATTAAGTTAATAGTGATATATATTTCAATTAAATATTTTTATCGTGAGAAATGTAAAATACTTTAACAAGAAAGAATCTCAATGAGATATTAGTCAGTAAAAAAAATTTATGACGTTTTAAAAGTCATCTTTTCCGTAAATATAGACATAAATCTAGAATATTGAATGAATTTCCGCGAGAAATATTTCTAGCTGTCGTACCTCGTCTTTTCATCGAGTCATTCACGGTAAATTAATTAAATAAACTAAATAACCCGTTTAATATGAAACTTTCCATCCGTATAAAACCAAACGTCAAGCCAAACTATGGAGAAATTTCAATTTAACTATTGAAATATTAGCGTTTAAAGTGGCTTACGAATAGCTGAAGTTGAGAGATTGTTTGGTATGTTTCAGTATACGAATGGGATAGAGCTGAAAATATAGATTAAATAGATGTACTGCAGGTGTCTGACCTCTTCGCTGTTTGACTTGTCTTGCCGTTGACCCGGTGACGAGGTCAAAAGGTCCGGTAGAACTGAGCTAGGTCGTGAGCCAGGCGATGAATCTGACCTCTGGAAGTCTCCTCCTCCGCTGCTTCTTGCACGTTCTCCTCCTTCTCGATTCTGTAATTCGAAATATGTTTCAGTGGGAACGACTAATTTCATCCAACTCTGATAAAAAATACTACTAAACAAATTGTAAATAATTAATTCCAAGTAGGAGCTATAAAGGAGAAGAGACATTAGATGCTTTTAGTTACAAGGAATCATAAATACTCCAAGAAACAAAAAATTACAATCATAAGGTACTTTTATTAAATTTTTTTTTTTTCAAAGTTAAAAGTTATGTTTAAAAATGCGGATTTTTTTTATTATTTGAATTCAGAGTTAATTGTGACTTAAACAGTAATTTAATTTGAGAAAAAGTAATAAAATAAAATAAAAGAGAGGTAAAAATGTAGATTAAAGGGCAGAAAAGAAATAAAGGAAAGTAAAAAAAGAAGAAAAGTTGAAGAATGGGTAAAGCAGGAAGAAGAATAAGGTAAAATGAAAAAGCAAATGACTATTCCAATGCTGTATTTACGACTGAAATATACTGGAATAATGTCAACGGTGAGTTACTAAAGTTATTTCCATTCTCTACGAAAACTTTGTAAATATACATTTTTGAATATGTATTTTCGAATTTATAGTGTCACAACTTGACATGAATATTTCATTTTTTATAATGAACCAAAAGAGTAATTTCAAACCGGGGATTCAAGTTATGTTGGAGTAAGTACATAATATTTCATTGGAATGTCTTAACGATTGAGAATGAGACAGAAACAATTCAGAAGTTATATAGATTTACAGAAAAGAAAAATTGAAAGAAGTGAAAATATTTTATGGAGACTCAGTTATTGAGTATGAGAAATGAAAGGGAAAAAGTGAAATTTATTATAGAGATCATTTTATAAGAATTACGATATTATAAAGTAGACAAAAACAACGAAAAATAATGAAGTACTAATAAACAAACAATTAAAATTAGACTAATATAACTAGAGTTAAGCCACGCGAATGTTTTAAGCGTGACAATAAATAAGGTAAATGTTCCAGTCTTGTTTTGTTGACAAAGTCTGAATATCTTGTTTCAAAGCTATTATGAGCTAAACAATTTAACTTCCATTTTACATAAAACAATAAAATAGCCTTACTACTAAAATATACATTGACTTTTAGACATTAAATAAAATTACTTCAATGAAAGGTACATTTAATTTCTTCATTACTAGGAACATTTAACTTCCACAATGAGCAATACATTTATTATTAATAATATCAACACAAAAACAGACTAGCAATAGAAACTAACTGAAATGTGCCAGGCATTTTTGAACTGTCAGAGAGACGCTTGCACGTTGGACAATGTCAAAAGTAATAAAAAATGAAAAAATAAAAATTTACATATTTATAGATAGTGATAAAAAATCTAAATCGATTCCATTAAATTTTCTTTTTTTTCAACTGAATATCACATAAATTGATACACGTGCATCGTATTCAAATAACGAACATAGAGTCACGTTACAAGCTTATTTACTTATTTTTTGAACTTCCACATCATTGTAAAGTGCATTTTTTGTTATCCTCATGCCAGCGTTTTCTGAAAGCATGCTCTCATAGACGTAACATTTTTTTAATAAAAAAAATAGTAAAAAAAAAAAAGAATTTAAACATGAAAGGCTAATGATTTTCGGTGAAATGACACGATGTGAGAGTATAATAATCAATTGCATCCTCGTTTAGGCGTAAGCATTTCATGCAACGGTCGTCACGATCATCGTTAAAATTTCTTCTCGTTTGTCAATTGAACGATGCAGTCAATTGAAGTCTAATACGTAAGGATCTAGAAATTTAACATTCTAGATGTTTTTTTTTTAATTCTTTTCTACTCTTCCAGGAATCCTTGGCTTATACATTATCATCCTTTTCCTCGATTTTTCCTTCATTGAGGGATTTTATCAGTCATCTTCTTTTTTCATCTTCTCAAAGGTTTCGTTAATGGTCGATGCTTCGTGAGCAACTCGTAACTCCTTCATTACTTCATGCACGCTTCAGCAGGCATGTAAACATATTTCAATGAATAATGTTAGCACAAACACACATGGTTATTACTTGATCTCTTTTACGAGTCAAGCCTTTTTTGTTATTTGAATGATTTTTCTAATCAAATGTGCATGAATCAGACGCTGATTGCTTACTGATAGCCAACGTTTTTTGATGAGGACTAATTGAAGACGATGGGAAAATGAAAGAATAATTGATGAAAATCAATTACATAATTTTGATGAATATGGAGAAAAGGTTGTTTTTTTTTTTGTTTTTTCTGAAAATGGACTTGAGTGATTTTTGATGAGATTAAATGATTCATTGATTATTAGCAGCGTGCAATTGTGATGTTAGCCACAAAAGCCTTTCGAATCCCATGCGATAGCCTTCATTACTTTAAGTTATTTTTGTTAGTATGATTATTTGGACGTAATAAGCGAATCCCGACATCACCTGCAGCATGTTATGTAGCATAAAAGTTGATGGAAGTGCAGGAGTACAATTTGGAGAGGAGTGTCTCTATTTATATCGACGATTATGTTGATTTGTATAGTAAAACTATCCAACGACTGCAAAAAGTTATCGAGTTATATGGTGTTATGGAATCTAAGTCACACTACTGAATTTAATTGAAAGAATACTTTAAATGATATTTCAAATTACGAGATGATATATAAGAGAATTTTCAATTAGTAAATAATTATTTACAATCAACTAATTGAAATAAATTTAAATAATTTATGTCTTTTCTAGAGATTAAAATAAATCTAATGTGGAAGAAGAGTAACAATTTCAAGAATATGCTAAAAAGTATTAATAACCGTCACTACTCATTAAATGTTGCGAGAAAAAATTACTTATTTTTAAAGAGATAGTAATAAGAAAAAAAAAATATCTATATCTCTAAGGAACATATAAATAATTGGTAATAAAATAATAAATAAAAAGTTAATTATTTTTAGACTCTCATGAAATTAATATTTTATTTGAATTATAAATCATTGAAATAATAACGAAAATGACTTTGGATATAAATATTGCTGAGAAAATTTTCATTAAAGTTTTCAGACTTCTCTTTGCAAGTAATTTATTTCTCACGCTCTAAAGTATTTTAAAAACAGTAATTAATGAATTATCTTTATCGAAAAAGTTCTAGGATGAGGAAAATGCTTCTACCTTGTACTGCGTCGACTATTTCTAGTTAATTATCATTCGAAATAATCGTAATATGAGTCCGGATGCGGGATGTTATCATAGGAAATGTATAAAGTATGTATGAGATAGCAAATAAATGAGGACTAGACAAGGAATATAAGTGATTTGAGGTTTTCGCGCCATAATCTGGCAGGCGGACAGGCAGTCGGAGGGGCTCGACAAGACTGACCTGGGTGATAACAGGGCTGTACTCGCTAGCTGTGGTACTAGCTGTAGACTTAATAGTTCCAGCATCGTCAGAAGTCGGTGTGTCAGTAGGTCTACAACTGCGTCTTCTTGAAGAGTCCTCACTTGCTCGCAAAAGTCTGGCTTCATGTCGTTCTCGTAAGAAGTCTTGTTGTCTATTGCCAAATACTATTTCACTTTCAGTTTTTTCTCTTCTTGGCCTTTGGGGTCCATCTCTTCCATAAGAGAAATCAGTTAAAACTGGCTCTCCTGATGATAATCCACTACCTTTCTTTCCGATTATTCCAGCCACACTTATTTCACTTCCCCGTCTGTTTCCACTGGCAAAAATACTTGACCTGGGTTCAGACTTCTGTAGGTAAGCCGAGTGCCTCGTAGAAGGGAAAAAATCGGAATTTTCTCGTCTGAATGCTCGAGCAAATGCACTGGCATTTCCAAGCTTTGAATCGGACTCTTGACGTCGATGCACTGCTTTAAGTTGAGAGGAGGAGGAAGATTGTGGTTGTTTGTGACTTTGTTTATGATGTTGAGCTACGTCATGTTTCCGTCGTGATGCCAACTCGTAACGCTTCAATGTTCGTTCACCAGAGGATGATGATCTCTCATCACTACCAGACTTGCCGCTGCTCACCTCCTGTTTCATTTTATCCAACCTTTCGTTACATCCTTGAAAGAAGCGAGTAAAGTCCCACTCCTTGAGCAGCAATTGCTCATCAATCTCGGAGTGCCTGTTGCTCGCCGCTCTATCGTCTGTCGCTTGACTAATTTTCTATGCGACAAACGTAGACGGTATCGAACGGTCGGGAAATGAAACAGTGACAAAAAAAGAAAAAAAAACCATACGTGGAATAAAAGTGTGATGATGGGTGATAATGTTAATGTTTTTTTTCTTAAAAACGGATTTTTTTTTAAACTTTTTTATCGTTCAAAATTTTAATGAATTTTTTAAGAATTTAAAGAATGGAAATTTGTTGAATAAAAAATTTAAAAATTTATTCTGAGCAAGTTTTTACAATTTTAAATTTTAAATAAATGCATAGTTCAACTGATAAAAATTTCATAGAATTTCGAAAAAATATAAATGCATTTCCTTTTATAGGAATGTAAGCTAGAGATTGAATAAAATTTTAATGTCTCTTTGATAAAATCCGACAATATTTTTTGCAAATATCATTTTTACTGACTAAAAAAATAAAATACCTTTCATTTTTTCTCCGTTAAAAAAAAAAGACTAAAATACTATAGATATAGTAATAACATATTCGTTTGTTTAGTATTCGAATAAGTTATTCGGCAATTGTTGATGCGTAATGATCGTGAAAATGTAATTGGAATTACGAATGATTTGTAAGAAGATTACGAATGGTCAAGTGCTCAGAACAAAATTGGAGTATTAAATTAATTTTAAAAAATATTATAGTATTTAAATTAATGTATGAGGTGATGCACGAGTCTGCAATGTAAATAACACGTAAGGCCGAGCAATTATCATACAGCAGACGACACTGTGATGTATGAAAGGTATTTATGATAGTGAAAAAATAATCTTCAAAATATATGAATGAATGATAAAAAAATAAACTGTTTTATGGAATAAAAATTGGAGGAGTTTGTTACAGGCAATACGAGATGCTCCCTTTATATATTATTTTTATTTTAACGAGATCTTATTTTAATGAAGAGCACTTCAAACGCATGGTGTAGTCAGAAAATCACTCATGCGTCTGATTGTTGCATAATGATCTCGACAAATCGTAATTTAATTGATCAAAATAGCTTTTAAAAGCAGATCTAGATTTTCCAATTCGTGGACCGTTATTTTTTTGTGGCAGTCTAACGTCACTTTCATATAAACAGTCATACGACGTGTATGGATACACTGCAGTGCGATACATATACAATAATGCATATATGTATGCCAATTGACAACGTTTAGCTACGATATTATTCTTGCACTATTATTTCAAATAATAAACTTACCCTTTTCATGACTAGCGTACGATCACCTGACTCTTCTTCATCAGGAGTAGGTGGCAATGGTCGGTTTGGTGCTCCTCCTTTATTGATGAAACAAAAAGAATCCATCAGAATTGAGTTCATGGAGAGAATATTATGCTTATTCTCTGTTCTTATTTAAAATATAGGTTGAGAGATGTATATAATAGGTTATTGCTTTTTTCTTACCTTCGTGGTGGTTTTGGGCATTGTGTGATGACGACGAAGACGAATCTGAAGATGGTCTGAAAGGAGAAAATTCAGGGCTGGTATGCCAGAAGAATAGAGTTGGCACGATGTGAGATGGATGATACGATTGACGACGGATGGATGGATGATTTTTCGTAGTATAACGACAAGATGATGTTGCCATCGTAGATTAGTGAGGCAAATAATATATGTCGAACGGATGATTAAAAATGAGAAATGAATATATGATATTTACTCATATGCTTTTAGATTAAAAATATATCATTCTAAATTTATGATTGATAAAGATCGACTTACAGAGGTTTTGGTGGATCACTAGCTAATAACGTTCCATCATTCCTAGCATTATTTCCAATAGCATCTTCAAAGTCGTCATCACTGTCACTTTCAACGGTTAATGCCTGAAATAATTAAATATTTTATTTATTTATCCGAAAATACAAAATTTTATTCAATTCAATCATTATTTTTCAAAAAATTTATTTTTTTCAGGGTACTGAAGCTTTTTGAAGTTGGAAAACATAAAATAAAATAAAAAATATAGAAGAAACCCAATATAAATGTGTGTGCTGTGAGAAGAAATAGATTTAAATCCCATGTCAAAGAACTAATTTACCTGCTTGTCCAATTAAATAAGAAAAAAAACTTGATCAACGCTTGAATTGATTTTTTATCATTTACTTTGACACTTTGATTTGTTAGAATTGTTTCTCTTTTCGTTCTTATTAGTAATTGGACGGAGGGTGTGTCTCAGTGATGGAAGCTTACTTGATCAAGAATACTGGAGGATTGAGGCATCTGTTTGTTGTTCTGCTCATTATTGGCAGGTTGAGCCGAGTGCGTAGCAGCATTTGCCGATTGTGCAGGAGCAGGACTCTTATGCTGTCGGTTGGGCCGTGGCGGGGCTTCAGGGCCCTGTGACACACCAAGCTCGTTGAGTTGAGCGGCCAGCATGTCCAAGTCCTACCACCCAACGCGCACACATATTTTTAACCCCGTTAGTTACTTTGCCATTTGCCTTCTCCATATTATTTCATTATAAAAAAACTACGACCGCGTAAAAGCCAAAGTAATTGAGCGATAAAGCATCAAATAAAAAGGAATAAAAATACCAGTAGAGTAAAAAAAAGTGCACAAAAGAATAAATAATAAAAATTGCCTTTTGTCAAATACAAAAACAACTGTGCTAAAAATGTATATCGAGGAAATATTTTGAGTGGGTTAATCAAAGCTTCATGAATTTATTATATATATGAGATCTCGATAGCTTGATAATACTTGATATGAAAAGCTCTTGAAAGACAAACATTATTCGTCAGATCATTTTTACCGGCATTTAAAAGCAAAGCTGCACTTGTTTTAAATTTCCATAAAATAGCGAATTCTGTTCAAGTCTTTTTGATTCCTTTTTTTATTTTCGAATATAATAGATTAGTTCTGTGTCATAAATACACTGTATCAAAATTGATATATCGGAGAAAAATATGTACTCGATATTGCTCCGTTTCACAATTATCTATTACACCTTTTTATTTTCAAGGGTCACAGATATTAAAATATCATGAATATTTTTAGACAAAAATAGTTCTTCAATATAAAAATTATTATTAATTTACCCTAGATAAAATATCGATATCTATAAAATTTGAATTTATTTTTAATAATAAATTACTGATAACGAAATTATTAAAGGCTTAAATTCCATTAAAAGTTATTAATTGAATCTAATTTGATTCGAACCTGAAGTTATCACTTTTCTTTAATTAATTACTAAAAAGTTGAATATATTAAATATATTTAAATATTATTTATTTATTCATTTAAAATTCTTAGTCAAAATCTCTAAAATAATAAAATTAAGATAGAAAAATTCTTGAATACGAATATTTTTTTCTCTCAATGTATAAGGTTGGGTTGTATTTTTAGAAGCATAAGTTGTGTCACATTTTTTAGCATACATATTATAATAGACTTTATATACAATTCACAATTGTGAAGATACCTAGAAAATTTAGCTATTTACATGCAAGCAATATGTACTATATACTTTAGTACAAACCTAATAGTTTACGTGGGCTTTAAATTTTAGATAAATTTAAATTTGGAGAATAATAATGAATAATGAGTCAAAAAAAAGAAAATCTGCATGTATGAAAAGCAGGACAAGAATAAAAAAGTAAATAAACACAGTAAAACAGAAAAAAGAGTAGAGTGAGTGTGTGTGCTTTCTTACCTCAGGCCTCCTCGGTGGCAGCTACAGTACATGTGAACATGGAAAAGAAAAACAAAAACCAAATACATTCCGAATCGAAATATAGGAGACAGATAACAACTAAGAATGAAGAGGGCTTATGTGATTTTATCAAGTTGGCAATTATAATTCTACAAATAATTAGAATTTTCCAAGATGTATCTTTACAGCAACGGTTTTTGCCAACCTGATGTTTAGTTGATATCATGCAGTCTTTATACTAATTATAAACTGTTAAAGTGATCTTTATTATTCGTGCACTGCAAATAGGCGTAACAACAAGTGAGTATAAGTTGTTTTGTAGCCTAGAAAATAATTGGAAGATGTAGTGTAAAATTGGAAAATAGAATCGAGCAGAAATCCTGTTCTTTTGCTGCATACACTCAGCGATTAGAGGTTCTTGGGGTCGTGCATTATCAGCAATTGCTAGCTTTAACTTTCATTCGTTTATTTATCTAACAATTAATCGTCTGTAATAATGAAAGTCTGATTGAAACCAAACCTTACCATTGGTTTAAAGATATGACTATTTCTTTGTGGAGCTTGTCCACCAGATCCTCCACTGCCTGCTCCACTAGAATTCGCAGCTGAATGATGATTAGAAGGTGGTGTAGAAACTTTGTGCTGTTGTCTTGGATCATCTCGAGGGGTTGGTGGCAATGGTCGAGAAGGTGGTTGTGGTTCTACGGAAAAATTATTATTTGAAAAAGTTTCTTTCAAATTAACAAAAAGTATCTGATTAGTTACTAAATTACTTTTAAAATGAGTTTTGAAAACTAAAATGTAACTGAATAAACAAATTACAGTAAAAAAATGATCTAGACAAATTAAATGTTTCCAGACCAGTATAAAATATTTTAAATAACATTTAAGTTTGAATATAACTCTTATCATATTGTAAAAGATACTTTGAGCATCATTACAGTAAATTTTAAACGATAGATAGTTGAAAACAAATAAAAACTCAGAAAATCTACCAATGAGTCTGTGAGGAATGGCAGGTCGTGCTGGAGGTCCAGGTTCAGGTATTTCTCTCTGATTTCTACTTGAAGCTTTTTCTTTATTAGAGTGTGGTTGTTGAGGAATGTCCTGAGTTAACGTTCGCCCTTCCTGGATTTGCTGGAAATTACGACGCAATGTGTCGCCTCCAGGAGCTTGAACTATTGATGATGGTTCTCCAGCCAATGCTGGTTCATCTTCCTCATTCTCGCTACCACTGTATCGATAATCATCTCGTTCTAGAAGAAAAAAAAATGAAGTAATGTACAGCTAATAATATGTACTGATTATAAACTTAAAAATACAGTTATGTTGATGATGAATAAATCAATAGTATCATCCTGTTTCATTTTATTTTACCTTTCTCTTGTTTACGTTTCTTGCAACGATCGATGTGGTCTTTCAGCTGTATCCTCACTTGACGCTCTGTTGGTTGGTCCCGGATGAATGGATGCTTAAGAAGCTGCTCCGTATAAGGTCTTTGATGATAATCTTTCACTAGGACCGTTTCAATGAAACCATGAAATTTCTTAGCCCATTTTTTTGACTTGAGTCTTGGCGGTGTGTTACGGGGAATTAAAAATAGAGCCTAATTCGTAAATAAAGAAAGAGAAATTAGATTGAAGAATAATTTGGTTATTAGGAATAATGACAATTTATTCTTACATTAAAATTAGCTTTAAAATTGATTAATTTAGTAAGTAATCTCTTTTGTTTTACTTACTCTCATGGGATGTAAATCACAGAGGGGAGGCTGTGACTCTGCCATTTCTAGAGCTGTAATACCCAGAGACCAAAGATCACTCCTATTGTCATAAGTAGCATCTGGGTTCTCATCGCAGGCAATTACTTCGGGTGCCATCCAATATGGTGTACCAATAAATGTATTCCTTCGACCGATTGTACGATCTAATTGTGCGCTTACTCCAAAGTCAACTGTGAATATCATAGATTACATTAGTGTTTTCATTTTAGTTTTTGCTATCCTTTTTTGTTTGTTTTTTTAAAAAAAAGGCAAGTTTGAATTTTATGTTGAAATCTATTGAGCAATTTTTTCTTTTCTTATCAAAAAACCATAAAAAGTATGTTCAAAGCATGCCGTAAAATTTTTATTTTTATGTGAGATGATAAACATATTTAGGTAATTATGTAACCAGTTTACCTAATTTGACTTCGGCGTTATCTGTTAACAGTACATTTTGGCCTTTGATATCCCTGTGAATGACTTTGTTACTATGAAGGTAGCTGAGTCCTCTCAAAATCTCTCTCGAGATGTAAGCGATCCACTCCTCCTTGAGACTTTGGCCTTTCGTCGATTTTACCAAGTCAGTCACTGACCCAGCACCGCAATACTCCATCACTAACCATAACTGATCGTCTTTTCCAGGTGGTGATTTTTTGACAAAGGCCCCATAGTATGTTGCAATATTTCTGTGATTTGAATACTAAACAAAAAATACTCCAATTAACAAAATTGTTGACTTTTAATTTTATTTTCACATTGAGAAAAATTTTTATGCGTGAAGATATTCTTTGAATCGAATTTTTAAACAAACTACATTTGAATTCTTATTATGAAATTGTTTTATTATTCAATAAAAGATATGTTGAAATAAATTCTAAATGTCGTCTTTTTTTAATTTTCATAACAATTTTTTTCTCAATGCAATTATGTACCAAAGTTATTTTTGCTGACCTTTTTGAGAACGTTAATTTCAAGTTTTATCTCTTCCTCTTCGTCCTGAAAAATGAGATAATTATTCACTGCTTGTTTCATTAATTTCTCTTGATGAGGAGTAAACAAATTAGTCATGAAGACTTTTAATATAGGCAATTTACGTCTTTCATTAGAACGGGTAAGAAAAGAAAGAAAAAAAACATCAAACTATTTAGTTTATAGTTAGAAGAGTTAAATTGAAACTATGAAGGATCACGAAACGTTGCGTATCACCCGTTAAGTAGGTAAGTAGAGTCAAGATTAGCTCGGGCGTTATATCAGAGAAAGACGGAAGTTTAACAGAGACCCGTTAGTATATCTTCTCTTCGTTTCGTGCAATCCTTGATTTTAAATCTAGTATTCAATCTTTCTCTTTAAATTACTGTCATTTGATAATGCTCATGCTATCATCGTTTACCTGAATATGTAAATACACATTGAATTTAGAAGTAAGGCATCATCAAACAATGTTTGATGTCAGAGATTTGCAGAATAAGATGAGCAAGTCGTATAACAATATATATATATATATATATATATATATATATATATATACTAGTAAGTTAACTGTTATTAAAGATATTCGGTAATCAGTATATCTGACTCAGTCATGCAGTAAATTCTAGGGAAAGACTGCTATCATAAGTGTGAGTAATCAATCGGAAATTTTATTGGTACAATAAGGACAATTATTTTAATTTCTTTATTAAAAGCTTTTTATTTTTCTTTGTTTGATGATTGAGAATTAGAGAATGTATTTAATTGCACCAAAAAATATTAGATGTGTAAATGTGATTGTTAAGTGTTGTTTTGAAGAATTGTTTTGTTTTTAATTTGTGTATTTTTAAAATCATATTTAAAATTAATCTCTTTTAGTGAAATTCGTCACTAATGGTATTAGTCACCGAAAATATTATATCTTAATTTGATTAGTCTAATGAGTCTTTGACGATGTTTAAAAAAACATCAGAGCGTAATGAATGAAATGGAAAGGGTTCATTGACAGTTATATTATCGATTCTAGACAAAGATCCTCACCTCCGTGACATCCATAACTTTAATGGCTGCCAGCTGGCCTGTCTTGGTGTGTCGACCCTGCAAAAAATAAGATCATTCATTCGCTTGAATAATTATTTAATCTAATTTTCTGTTTAAATTAAATTTAACTTTTCGATAAATTTAAGTTACTATTAAGTTATATTAAACTATTATAATTGATCAAAAATATAATTTTCTTTTTTCTCGTGGCAATATTTTAGTATACAATAAATAAAATAAAGTTGTAATATAAATTAATGTTATTGACTATCGATGATTATTCATGATTGGCTCTCGCAGCAGGTACAACTGAATCTAACGGGTTCCTCAGGAAAGCAGCAGATACATGAGTAATAAAAAGAAAAGATAAAACATTGCAAAGCATAATGGTAGACGAGCATGATATCGGTTTTCATTCATTGTAAACTCTTGCAGACGCGCCAGTGGCTTGAGAACTTTTATAGATAAACTCATAACTATAGGACGCAAATAAGCGTAACATCAAGGAAATGAGCATTCATTTTTAGTAGGTCTCACAGTTGATTTCCGTTACAGCCAATACTTATAATTTTTATCTTTTTGATTTTTTCTCAAAGTATTTAATTATAATTGATCTAGGTGTTATTTGCATATTTAATTATAAGTACATTTATTTTAAGTAATGATAATAAGTGAAATATCCTGTAAAAAAAGAATGACCTAGAAAAACTTCAAGTTCAAAAGTTTTTGTAGAAGATATTTGAGTGAAGAATCTTAGTAATTATTTTTTTATGCTGAAGAACAAGGTTGCTTTGTTGTATAAATTATGAAGAATCAACATCTGATAGGTTTCATGTACAAACTGTTAGAAAAAATTGTGTTGAATAAGACCTAGTGGTGTACATTAATATAATTTCCCAACTTTAAATTAAAAATAATGATTAAGATTTTTTTTAAATTAATTTTAAATCTAATGTAATCCATTTATTTATCTTAACTCAACTTTCACTTTGGATTGAAGAAATAAATATGTTCAGTCATGCATCTGTCACTATAATTTTTCATTTCCTTTCTAGTAATTTTTTGAAACTATTGAAAAAATTAAAAGTCCAATAATAATTGAAATAAATAGAGTAAAAATGAGATGTAAGGTACATTAAGGTCTTGCAATAACTTTGAATATCAATGCACAGTTGGAAAATTTCTGTTCAATAATCATTAAATGATAAAGAATGCAAATGAAAGATAATTCGAAAATGCATATCCAATCAGTTAATATCAAACCGATGCATCTGAAAGTCGCGTCATACATGAAATTGTGTAAGTAGGCGCAAGCGCAGATGACGGTGTGCTTAGCCTATCGTCGTCGTTTGTCGTCTTCGTCGCCGTCGAAACAGTGTCATCGGCCTTTCCATACTGTCGAGGGGGTCAGACCCCACGATTCTGTCCTTCTCTACTACTTCTTGGTCCTCTTTCGTCCCGTCTCTTCTTCTCTCTGATAAACCCGAGTACATATTGCGGTAAAGTCCACCCAGCAAGAAATAATATCATTACTTTTAATATACTTTTAGCTTCATTGGAGTAAAAAAATCTTTTGGGTAAAGAAACAAGAGAAGACTTTTGTCGAGCGAAAGCGACGAGAAATTTTCTCAGGCTTCCTTTAAGAACAATAATTTATTTCAATAGACCGGATAGAGGTTGGCAGGTCGTTGGCTTTTTATTTTGGCACAACTACTTTGTTTCCTACTAATTTCCCAAACGCCTTTTCTACTTCCTCCACATACGCTCTTCAAATCCTAGAGTCGTTTCTTGTCAAATAGACATACCCACGCGCTATCATAAGACAGTGTTACTTCAAAATTCATTTGCTCTAAAATTTATAGTATGATATAACTGAGAAATTAAAATTCTATTATATATCTACCCGTTTTCTCAGATACAACAAATTGGTTAAAGTCAAAAAATTCATTTAATGTCATTGTTTATTCCATTTTCGTTTAATTGAAAAGAATAATTAAATATAATATATTTTGTAAATCAAAAATAGTAACTTTAAATTCATCTTTATTTTTTATTTTATTTCATATTTTCATCAATTTTTTGTTCAATTAGATATTTGATAATATTCATGAGTAATCTTAAGAAATCAATAAATAACCTTTTCAATAACAATTTTTATGTATGTATCTGTATACAAATCAATCTAGAAATATTTTTAATGGAATTTTCAATTATCTAGAAACTAATTTAAAAAATGCATTCATCATTTTTTCAATTTTCTTAAATCTCCAGGCTTCATAGTAGAGCCCGATATAAAAAAAATGGAAAATAAATTCAATTTGACCTCTTTCCAGATAAGAAAACTCTTATAGAAAAAAAATAACATGCGTATTGATGTAATCGAGCTTTTGGAATAGACCCTGATTTTAGTATGAGGTGTTCATTCATTGTTAGTGTTCATATCTTGTGGACAATTTAAACGATGACTTTAACTTTAGCTTTATTAAAAAAGTCTTTACTCATGCTTGTAACACATTATAACATTATATCTTCAACAGAATCATTTTCGTTAGCTTATTGCAGAACTTAAGTAATAATTTCTCCATGGTTACGTATTTGCTTCAAATTCATTCTCACTTTTTCTGAAAGCATCTCGAAGAGAGCTGCAGTTCACCGTACTCTCTCTCTATGACTCTTCCCCACGCACTACAAGGACAAGATCACAAGGTAAAATTTTTTCAAGGTGATTCACCAATCCTATGCTCCTTATATTATATTCAACGCAGGTGTGAGAAACACAAGTCAGTTTGATTCATTCCCATTTTGTCTCTATCGATCGCCTCCATCATTTCTTGACTGATTGATCAAAGTCTTAAATTTCAGTTACTTTTCTAACGATTAGATCATCCAGTATATTATTTATTGTCCACACAAAAGACTCCAAAACTTTCAACAATAAAAATCCCAATCAATTCTTTAAAAATTTTTTATTTAAACATCAACAGAACTTTTATCAAAAGTATAATTAAGACTAATGTGTTTCGAAAATAGAAATGAAGTCATTTCTCAAGGCTATAAATAAAATGTTTATGTTTTGGAAGAAGTATTAATATTAGATTATTATTTATTTTAATATGCAAAATGAATTATTGAATAAAAATTTATTTTTCCTTTAATAAATTTATATTCGTACTAGTCCAAATAATAACAAGCAGATAAAATTTTCGAAGAAATATATAATAACTGTTCTTATAAATCATCAATTGAAAACTAATAATTTATCTCTCATGAGTGACTGAAAAAGTAACTGACTACAGTATTATTCATTCATATCCATATTTAATGTATTAACCACTGAAAGATGTGGATGACATTGAATATGAGAAAAATGAAATTAAAAAAAATCAAGGCAAAAAGGCACAAGTAATTTTGCCCCTCGCAAATACGGAAATAGAACAACCACGAGGGCCTTGTGAACTTGACGTCAAGAAGAGAAACTGAGGAAGATAGAGAGCACTTTCCTGGCCAACCACAAGGAAAGTTCGCATCAATGGTAAACAATCTTCAATGACACTAACTAAACCTTTGTAGATCTATTTAAAATCCATGTAATGTCGTCATCATTATTGATTTTATCGATGACCAGCAATTAATAGAATTGGTTATTTACGTCCATTAAAATGGCGTCAAAGTAGTGTTAAACAAAATGATGATAAAAAAGAAAAAAAATAAATTACTAGCAACACGTGAGTCATGAATAATGAGGAAATTGTAAGTGGACGTAATGACTATCGCAAAAATTCCAAGGAATAAACCCTAGTGGTGGGAAGAATGAAAGGTAGAGTTGAAAAAAAGAAGAGACAAGCCACAAGTCTACTGGTGCCGTTTGCTGTCATGAGAGCGAGACAAGAGACGTCGTGGTGCGTGCGAGAGTGGTAGCTCTCTGTATCCCGCTCGCGTGGGAGTTTTACCGCATGCCAACGTTTTTCTCCTCAACTCAGCGAGTACGATATTTCATATGTTATCCTTCCATTCAATTGACTTAAAATTCAATATATATATATATACATATGAATTCCTGAAATTTTAAGTAGTTCAAAAATCTAGAGCAAACTTTATGAATGTCAAACATGCAAAGTATTTGTTTTTTAATGTAGAAGAACTGAAATATTTCAATTGATATTTTAATACTTTTTTTTAAGAATTTTTATTTATCATATAGGTTTTATTTATGTTATATAACAGCAAGAAATATCGAATATCATAACAATGAACTTGAGATGAGAAAAAATAATACCACATTTAACCATTTAATAGTAGGTAATTTAATAATAAAATCGTTTAAAGTTCAATCATTCTTATATAATTCAATAATATTTTATTATTTTTAGCTGTTACTTATGTTTAAAAATTAGAAGCAAATAAATTTTCGCCAAAGATTTATAAATAAACTCCAAATTCCAACTTCTCTTGACTTATCGAAAAGTTTTAATTAATTCTAGGAAGCATCCAAAAATAGTATACAATAAAATCCCGAAAAAGAATTTAAAAAAAATTATTATTCAACATCAATAACTTCATTGTTGATCTTATCGTATAAATGTGTAGATAAAAATGGCAACAAGAATAATTACATTATATTATTTGAGAATTTGATTCTTTGAATGCCAGACACTCGTGAATGACACAGATCACACGGCACATTTATCTTTTATGAATGACACATTTAAGTAAAAGCTTTAGCTGAACGGTAAATAAAGAGCTTTTTTTCCTTTACATCAAACAACTCGACAGCAATGCTTTTTAGAAGAAAAAAAAGTTGCACTCAACCTGAAATCACAGTCGGTGCATATTGTGTATCGACCAACGAATCGCCCACGCCAATAAAAAAAATGATGAAGAAAAAAATTCCTAACCCGTCAGACATGTTTTGGGCTCGTTAATAGCAGCACGTTTATGAAACATTTTAACACGCGTACGGAAATGTTCCTATTTAGAAATCAAAGTATAATACTAACGGATGTACTCTAATGAACACGAATGGAATTAAAAAAAACCTACATTGACAAAGAGAAAACTAAAAATCATTACGAACCCTGCATTGTCTATTTTTTGTAATAAATAGACATAAGTAATTTCTAACTTTGATATTCTTGAAATAGAATGCAATAAATATCTTACCTTATACACTTGACCATAAGTTCCATTGCCAACGACTTCGATGAGTTCGAAGATTCCGGCTGGATCCTGAAAAAAATTAATGCATCAGTCACTCAGCTTCTTAAGGCTTTTCACAAATGTTATATTGATGACGCACAAGCGTGGAATGACTCCTAGCCCCTTTACTTGATTTCAACGCGTGTCTGCTTCTATTCTGATTACCAAGACTGACAATGAGCTTCTAGAAAATAACTGGACTTTGTAATGTTGGATTTATCTGCTGGTATCATTTGAAATGTAAAAGAAATCATCATCGGTGTCAATGACGATGACAATGATCGACCGTTTCAGTTCTGAGCAATTAATTGTTGCTCTAGTTTCTCTAACTCATCTGTCAGATATTCATGTTCAATTAGTGATATGTAAAAATGAAAATTTAAAAAATCAATTGTAAAAAAAACTTTTATTTTACATTGAAAAATATTTTTAAACATTTATTTGAATAAAATTTTAATTAATTAATGTTTTAAAAACGAGAAATAATAAAGGAATTGAGAAGTTAATGGTTCAAAATTAATGAATAAAGTTGATTAAATCTTAATTATCAAGCGGAAGTCGGAACGACAGTGAAAAAAAAAAGTTAAATTAAAATTGTCAGATTAACCTTTCTGTTGATTCTTTGAAAGTATTATAAAATTAAAAAAAAATTTGTATGAATTATTAAATAAGTTATATTGACTTTAAAACTTTATAAACTTCCATTTAATTATATTAAATTTATAAAATATAATAAACTATCTAGATATTTTCAATTAACTTTCTATCAAGAACACATAACAAAAGGAAAAAACGCAGATTTATATTGTATAAAAAAGAGAAATACTTGTAGCCAGTGAAGATAGATAATTTGATAGGGGAAGAAGCCGGACGGATATCAGAAACAGCTGAAGGAATGATAGGTCCCCTCGAAAGATAATGAAATAAACGAAAGATAAATAATTAGAGTATTGACTGTTTTATGAAAAATAAGAAACAATGAATTTAGACATTATCAGTACGCCTAAACTCCCGGAAAGTACACATACACATATTCACGATATACAAATAGAGAAATAAAAAAGATGGATAGAGATTGTGAATCTTGACAGAGAAACGTCGAGGCTGGAGTAAAGCATCGAAAAAATAAAGTAGTTTTTTCGATGGTAGACATTGATAAATGCTTAAGTCGATAAATCAATGAGAATGACAGACAACTTTCCAAAGTTGGTTTACATACCTTGAGTGCATTCAAGTCGATGTCGTCTAGCGAGCAGTTAACGCTCGGTGCCAAATTGTGCGCCATCTTGATACGCTACTCGTGTTCTCTGTCGTTGGTTTGCGCACTCTCGTAGTTGCGTCTTTGTCTAGTCTACACCACCCGCACGCCGCACAATTGGAATAAAAATACAAGTTAATTGTAATATTCAAGTTATAAACACTGAAATCTTTCGTTGCCTGACACGCCCGGGGGGTAACTTTCCTCTAAAATAATGATAATATCACGGCAAGGGGCCCTACGTCTCCGCCTATGTCCTGTCTACTCTACACTACTCTCTTCGTTTCTCTTCTGGCCCTATCTCCGTTGATCACGAGATACACTCGGCGAATATTTCGCCTTCACGCTGCACTTGGTATCTGTTAAATTGCTATTGGATGCTGGCAAACCGCGCCAAGTCACACCCGGAGCCGCACATGGCGAACAAAACGTACGAAAACCGCACACTCCCAGTCTCAGTACGTTGCACCGTTCTCTCGGTATGAACATACATGCAGGAGGCACAAGTCCTGCTGTGTCAAGGGAGGCCTTGAAACTTGCTGTTGGTGCCCCCCTCCCCTTCATGAAACTCATGAGTATTAAATGCACTCACAGTACTTAGTGCCTCTAACAATTTAAAATTGTACTAAATTGTTCCTAAAAATTACCGACTATCCAAAAAATACCGACTCAGTAAATTTCTCACACAGATGGCATAATTGTACTATGTGACGTCATTAGTGGTCATGTTCGACCAAACTTTGTATACGTGAATTTTATTCTACATTAATTAATAAACATTCATTCAATTTATTAATTGAATTATTTATATGATAGTGAGATAGATTTAAAAAATTTTAACTTTGTGATATAATCGTACTATTAAACATAAAGTCATAACAGTAAGCAGAGGTTTATTAATTGATCGTAATTAAACGTGCCGGGTACAAACGTAATATAAAAAGTTGCTAAGAAATTATTGATTAACGTGCAATGCTTTAGTTTCTTGAGAAAACAAAATAATTTATTAACGTTTTAAATACATCGTACTACAGAGTAAATCCAATTTTATTCGACAAGGTGATTTAAATTAAGGTTAAGGTGAATTAGTGATCATATGATAAAAAAACTGTCAATTGAATGAACAGTTGATTTAGAAAACTGCATAAACGCAACTTTTTGATAAGAATTAAATTCATATTCAACTGCAATCATTAAAAAATAGTGAACTTCAGAATTTCCAATCTGCGCTCCCTAGGAATAACATTTTTTTATGAAGAATGAACACGGGATTCATTTGAGTATAGTTTATTTGTAAACAGTTACCCGGAAGATGGATGCCTGTGACACACAAAGAAATAATTGGGAAGATTTAGAAGTGACCAAGTCGGAATTAGAAACTTTAAGTGATTGCATGAAACAAGATGAATTTCGTAAATTGTTAATTGAATACGCGGAAGAGGTGACGAATCCGGAGAATCGCAAAATTTATCAAGAAGAAATTACTAAACTCGAACGTGAACGTGGCGTCGACGTAACTTTTGTCAACCCTGAACCGGGTTACGTCATTAAAACAAGTTTAAATGGAGAAAAGAAATGTTTTATCAATATTAGTAAAAGTGAAACTATTGGAAAACCATCAAGTCAACCGTCATATGAAAATGGACATCCTGGATTAAACTGGTCGATTCCCCACACTCTAACACCCCCTCGTGATGACCTGGATAATAAGAGGCTTCGATGTACTGTTTTCGATGTTGTATTTCATCCAGATACACTTTATTTAGCTTCTAAGAATCGCAGATTTCGAGAAATTGTAAATAATACTGCTCTAGATGGAGTAGAAAAAAATTTTAAGGTGAGTGACCTTACTTGTGCCGGTACTGTCGATGTTACCAAGCGCCATTAAATTGCTAGAAAATTCTACCGTCAATCTCGCGTATAAACATTCAATTTAAACTTATTAAATTTTTATATAAAATGATTTTCTATATTTTTAACATAACTTATTTATTATTAACTAAATTATACATTTTATTCTAGTAGATGACAAAAATGGAGTAGATAAAAATTGTATACTACAAAAATCAAATTTTTTTTTTAACTTTGAAGAACAAAAATGAACTAAATTACATTACATAACAGATTATTTAATTATTCTAATTAATTTTTCATTTTTATTAATTAATCCCTTTTTACAGGTTGTACTAGATCGAAAAAACCTCAAATTTCCAAAGATGACTTTTAAAGGAATGAGTCAATCAGCTGTAATTAGGAAACAGTGTGAAAAACCACCTGAAAAGTCATCTAATAATGAAGACGAAGAAGAAGAAATTTACCAAAAAATCATGGCGAGTTACGATGAAGCACGAGAGAAATACAATAAAGTTTTAGAAGGTAAACCTAAACGACAATCACCAAAAACCATCTATTACAGACATGATACCAACATAGAAGATATTAGTTCACCTTATTCAACTCCAAAATATGTCATAAAACATCAAAGCGATATAGATATTCAGGATTTTCGAAACACGAAGGATTCGAAACTTCACGCAACGATTCCCAAAAATCTTGTTGTTAGTATTGATTTGCCACTCCTTCGTTCTGCTTCCGATGCTAGTTTAGATGTTCAAGAACATTCTCTTCTCGTTTTAAGCGAGAAACCAGCTAAGTATCGTTTGGAGTTACCATTGCCTTATCGCGTTGACCCAGATCATGGCAATGCAAAATTTGATATGACGAAAAAAAAGCTAATCATTACACTGCCAGTTTTACGAGAGGCCATTCAACTTCCAGAGTTTAAAGATGATAGTGGGGTAGAAAGTGATCATGGAAGTCCACCAGCAACGCTAATAACTGAACAAAACGCAGGCGTTTCATGTTCAAATGATCACAATCAATCACTATCAACAAATAATATTGATCATGAAGATAGCTTGAATACTGACGATGGTGATAATAATACTAATTGTGATAATAGTAATCATAAAAATACTTCCAATACGTTAATCAGGGAGGTTTCTTCAGATAGCAATCGTTCTGATGATTCTGGTTGTAAAATCACAGATGTTATTGATGAAGAGCCTCTCATGAATGAAAATACTATTTATTCGTATCCGTACTATACTTGTAATATCTACGATTGTACCTTTGCTCTAGTTATTCATGTTAAAAATGTCGATTCTGGATCAATTCGTTATAAATTTCTTCATGAAAATTGTGGTATTCATATTACGTTTTCCTCGGTGGGAGCGGGGTTTTTTCCTGTTTATTACTCGTTATGTTTGAAAATTGAAGAAAATGCTTTCAATAAAGATACTATTACCGTTGAACCTTGGGATAATAACGTTGTATTCACTGTAACATTAAATGAACTTAATAAAGAAACAACCCAATATTTTGTTGGGTTAAATGAGGAACTTATGGAAGCTAAAGATCTGCCTAATAAAACATCTCTTATAGAAAAATTTGAATCTCTTGTTGAAGAAAATGAAAAAATAGAAGAAATAGAAAAGAGAGTCGAAGTATACAGAAAAAATGAAGAAGAGGTTGTCATTAATATATCTCCTAATGAAAATCATCCGGACTCTGATGATGAGGATGAGACATGTGACAGGAAAAAAACAGACTGTAATCTCCAAAAATATCGATCAATATCAGAAAGTAGTGGTGATGAGCTTCCAAGTAGTAATAAGAATAAATCACGAGGAATTCTAAAATTACACAGTTCTAGACGAAGTAATTTTTCTCGGTCTGTATCTGAATCAAGTATTGATGATACAACTGGAATACCATCATCGGTAGATTTAAACTATGATTCTGTTCAAGAACATTATTCTGAATCTGACTGTTGTAGTTTAAAGAAAACTGTTAGATTTAATGATGTTGTATCTCGTCAACTATTCAGGTGACTAAATTATTCATTTATGATAAATGTCGGTATAAAAATTATCAATGCTAAAAAATTATTGTTTTCTCAGAAGAATTAATCAACTATTAACAATTGCTTTTATGTTTCAGGTCTAACTCAAGCATTTTAGGCCGTAGAAAAAAGAATCAGCGAAAATTACGCAAGAAGAAACAAGCTCATGAACGAAGAATGAGTGAAAGTGAAAATTCCGAGACTGAAGAGCGAGATAAGTTTAAAGCCAACGTTCATAAAAACACTAAAGAAGAAAAGGCTGTGGATAATGTAAAGTCAATTCTTAATCGGAATAAAACATTGAATCACCGTAAATCTAGCAGTGACAATATTAAAAATAATAAAAAGTCAGAAAATGACATTAATAACATGTACATCAATAATGCCGAGTGGCAAAAAACCGAATTCAAAAATGATTTGATATTTGATCTTGATATGTAGAGTTGTATTGCATGAGTAATTTTATGTGTGATAGTCAAAAAAATTGATGATGAGTGATTTTTTTTAGTGATTTATAATAAATGGTTTTCGGATAGGAACATTCCGTGATATTTCGTTTACAAACTTATTTACACATTGAGCACTACGTACATGAAATAATGAATGATGAAATGTAAGACATATTATCTAGTTTTTAGAAAACAGATTTTTTGAGCCAAGGGCTTTAAAATTAAATGAAATATATCTTGAAAAGTGAAATTGAATTTTTGCAGATTTTCAATGTCTTTATTGATGAAATAGATAATGTATTTTTCAATTTTACAATCATTGTAGTCAATTCAGCATAATAAAGAAAAAATGTCTCTAAAAATCAATATGGTTAAAGTAATTAAATTTTTTCTATTAAAATTGATAAATTTTTTTAACCGAAAGAATATATTGTAATGTAACATGAGCAACTTAAAAGTGTCGAATCTCTTCAGAGATTTTAATTTTAAAATAGCTAAAGAAATCTTGTAGTTTAATAATTTATTGAATTCAAAGAGAAATGAGACAGGAAAGAAAATTAAAAAAAACACTTGCATTCTCTCCGCAGTTTCATTTACATCCGTGTCATTTTCTTAAGCGGCTCAAGAGGGTTGGAAGTATTTGAGTAAAGGGAGTATGAAAAAAAGTGGCAAACTAGATGAAAAAATGGAGAAAAAGATTTTGGGTTAATTATTCAGTGTTGGAATATAGAGCAATATAATATTTGGTTTGATGGAGTTAGTGGTTAAGTCTTTATTTATAGAGGTTTTTTGTCATGGGATGTAATAATTTATACTCAAAATGCGCATTTTTATACAATGAGTCAGTTCTTGACAAGTCATATAGATTTATTTGAATGTATTTAAGTGAGGGGTTCACAGTTCTTTCTCTTAAAAACGATTGTAGGAAAAAATAAAAAAAACAAAAGAATAAAAAAGGGTTTTAAATACTCGTAGCAGTCATGCGTGCATTTGTATGCGTGCGTGCACACATCTTAGGCTTTTTCATATTTTTTATCGCTGCTCATAAGTCACAGAGGAGACATAAACAATATTGTAGAAAGGCTAGATTGCGGTCAAAACTTTTTGCGAGATAAGACCGAGAAAAGTAGATGAAGGAATGAACGATAATTTTTAGAATCTAGTAGACTATGGAGGCCATGACGAGAACATGGTTCTTTTATTCCGTTAGTTCAATATTAGTAAATAGGGAATAATATTTTCGCCAAACTTAACGCCTCTTGAACTTGAGAATTTTTCCAACTATTTTCCTGTCTATCCCCTCGATTATAGTTATAGTATAATATTAATAAATAATATTTAAGAATTCCAAGACTACAATCCACAAAGATATGATAATATCAGACATTAGATTCACAAAATGTGCATATAAGATTTTCTACCCTTCTAAAATGGTTTAGAATAAATTACAGAAAATACGTGTTGGCATTTCCTACAATTTGCACTCGTAATAATTTTAAATTGTATACTAAAAATTTTGAATACTCCAAATTCAGATATTATTAAAACATTCTATTTAAAATGAACAGCTTGAAGATTTATTTTTTTTATGTAACATTTTATAAGATAGTTCGTCTTAACTTAATTAGTCTACTTACTTTTATATGAATTATCTAAAAAAATTGGACTATAATATGATGAGTTCTGAAAGTTTATTCATTTATTATGGGTCTATCAAAAAAGGTTTCGCACTTTAAAGACAGCGCAGGTAGCTAAGCATAAATGCTTTTAAAAGTCGACGAGCAGAAAAAGTGAGTTTGGAAAAAAATTCTCCAATTAACAAAGAAAAAAAGAGAAAAGTTGCGGCATAACTGATGTAAAGGACACCTAATTTGTCTCTTACGCCTCGGGCGTCTAGTTCTTCGCGAAACGCCTGAGCTATCCTTTGATCCAGTAATTGGAGGTATCCCCAGACTAACAAGGATTATGAGGTGGTGGTAGAGTTTGAGATTACTGAATATGACATCTTCAGTGCAATAAAAGTTTACTTTTTTCTTTTAACAACTAGAATATTAATTTTTTCAAGGATTTTGTCGATTTCCATATATTATTGATGAACAAAGTTCTTTATTCAGCTTATATTTCTGATTCAATTTCTTTCATTACACATTTGACAAATCGTCCAGCTATGTTAGGTCGTTTCACTTCCATTTTAGCTATTTATAAAATAAATTATGTTTTTAGTTCATTTGTAATTTTTCAGATAACTATTTATTAAATATAGATTGCTCACCTTTGTTGTTACACTTGTCCAAAATTTGTGCTCCTAATTGACGTCCTTCAAAATTTGGTTCGTAATATTTTAAAAAGTCTTTCATTATTTCATTAACAATAATTCTATCAGCCTCCATCTATAATCAGGATAGAGTATAAATAATCTGTGACGTAAATTGTCGTTTAAAGGTAATATGATGTTCTCAGATACTTACGTATCCAGCGTGTTCAAGCATACATACATAGAAGGCACGAATTTCATCATTATCAACGGTTTTAAAATTTTTATAATATTGATTTTTAGTCTCTAACACGGAATTAAACAATTAAATTTGAATATTGGAACTTTTTATAAATATATTATCACTTACCTTCTGTCATTATTGATATACATTCAGGCGTATAAGGATCCAATTTTGCATGTTTCCAGCTATCTCTTTCACGATCTGCCAGAGTCTTTGATGAACCAATAAAAATTTTAAATAATTTCACTCAATCAAAAATTGATTAATAAATAATATAAACTTACCGCTGAAAGTATTAGAGAAACAGTAAATATAAATGATACTAAAAATTGAACCATTATTGTGTAATAATAGTAATCTATTGCGAACGTAATCAAACCAGATTTGCTGTAGAATAAACCGTAATTACCTTGAAAAGTTGTATATATCCTCATGTGATGCCAGCTAATCAATATTATCATCATATTACGAGTATATACTATTAAGCATGAGATAAACATAGAAATTTTATCTGTATGGAAACTTTATTATTTTTATTGCTTAATACAACTAATAAAAAAGAAGATTCATTTTTCTACTATTAGATAATTACATTTTACATGCTTTATTCGAATAAAATAATATAAAAATAAATCATTTTCAAATTTTTATGATGACTTGTCATGATAGAAGTGTGATAATTACCATGAACACTAAAAAAAAGGGTCTGGCTTTTTCAAAACACTTCAGTTGAAGTATTTTTGAGTTCACAGCTGTTGAAAATAAAGAGTTTAAAGTCGCACTGCTAAGAAACTTCTTACAGAAATAATATATTTTTGCTCTTCAGAAAATTAACTTCTATTTTTTGCAGTACAAGGTATTTTAATGAGCTTCATTCATTTTCAAAAAATGGAGTTGATTGGAAGAATTGAATTAAGTATTCTAAAGTAAAAAACATTATTATATTATTTCCACTATTGAAAGCCCTAGATAACAAAACTACCGATAGAAAAAAAGATTCCTATGGAATTCCAAAATTTTTATAAAAATGACCTAAGTATAACTTTAATATTATTAGTAAAATTATATTCAATTATATAAATGATTTACATTGGTTTTTTTGTAATATTTATAACAACTTTAAAATTAACGCATACGACACTATTAATAAATTTACACAAATCATCATAAAAATGATTGAAAATTATAAAATTTAAGAAAAAATTAAATTATTTCTACTCTCTTGGAAATGTATTTATTTTCCAATTACATAGTCTTGTGATGAAACTATTCTCTTGTCTTATCCACTGACAACACTAATTTGTCATCTATTTTGATCTTAAATGATGTGGATAAACACTGATGTATTTGAGACAACGATTCTCGAGTAAACATTATTCTCACTCATTTTTTAAACAATTCCTTTTAAATTTCATTAATTTTTTTTGCTAATTGATTGTCATTTTTTGTTTGACATATATATTTCAATATTAATTCAAATTTCATGATTATTCTATTGCATTGGTGAATCGTTGACCCAATTTCTACTTCTAATTCTTTTAAAATTAAAAAAAGAAATATATTTGTATCACGAATTTATCTTTGCTTGATGAATATTAAGTAAATGATGTTCAGTACGTGCTAAATGTAAATGTTTCAGAAATTTGTTATAGTATTGACAATGAATTTATCTTTAAAGAGAAGATACTTTTTTACAGGATGTAAAAAAATGTTTAAAAAATCGGCAAAAAACGGAGACTTCAAAAGAGAAAGGAGAATGCTTAAATGTCCTTTATATAACAGAATAATGGGAGGATGGCTGATAGAGAGAATGATGAGACTTCCTGCAAACAAGAAACGAAATAGCTAATAGGAGAGTATAGTCATAAAATCATACTCGCCTGTAAAAGTATTTCAGAGTCAATAAAGACACGATAAAAAGCAGTCATAAAACTCTGTAGAGCGTTTTATCGAAGTCATGAGGATATTTTTCGTGGTTTGAATTTTTCGTTTCTTCAGTTGCTAGGTCAGTTGCCTTTTTATCGATACTATTACCAAAACCGTAAGTACTACGGTTAAAATAATACTTTCAAGAGCAATAATGTTACTTGTTTTATTTTCAAATTAAAAAAATATCACATTGTTTAATTCATTTTGCATACAGATAACTGCATCCTTCCGAGAGAATGGTTTTCATCGCTAAAATAAATAAAGTAGAGGAAAAAAAAATAAAAATCGTGGAGGATTTTTAAAATCAAATATTGAAAAAAATTCCATTCCAGTGAATTCTATGAAACCTTTAGCTAATAAAATATCTTCATCCGCTGATCGACAAACTCACGACCAATCAGACTTGCATCGTCACCGTCTCTTTCAATCTAGCCATAAAGATAATCATAAAATCTAACTGCTCAACTCGTTTTCTTCATCGACGCCTGTGCCTCGTTCTATACTCACTTCTCATCCTACTTCCATCTTTTCTCGGCCACTTCTGGAGCCATTCTTCGACTCGTTCGTACCAAAAGCACTTTGCCGAGATGAGATTTTTTCGTCCGCAAATGTTTTCTCTATTTTTTCTCACGTCTCTTTCGCACTTCCGTTTACTTTACTTACAAGTAAACTATTTCGCATATTCCGGATGAAAATCAACAGCTTTTCGATTTGCTTGGAAAAGTAATCCACTATAGTGTGCATCCATTCTATAACAAGAACAAAATTCTGAGAAAATGAAATGTAAGAGAAGGAATCTCTATTAGTTGCTAGCAAACTTCGGGATAAGACTGCTTAAAACCTTACCCTCTACTTCTTACTCCCCGTTTGCTCGCGCGTTGAGCGTATTATATTATATTATATCGTCTCCAAAGGCCTCTAAGTTTGATACTAAGCTAATATATCTCATACCTGATGAGCTGGATCAGACAGTTTTGGATATCCGATTAAGCCGTCGCTCGATCTTCTGTCATTATCAGAATCCTCTAATCAAAGTCTACGTCAAGTTAGACACCATTCAGCGGGGGGCCTAGCGTAGCTTATCCTAAAACTATTGAAGCAAGAACTGTAGCATATATTAACGCTGATTGATATTCTAATATTCATCACATTTGCATTTTATTTAAAAAAGGGGCGAATTTTTTAAATTACAGTATCTCCAAAAGTCGCCATACATTTTCATTTTACTCCCAGATCAATAAAATTTTCTCGATTTCAACTCTAGCGATGCCACACTAGAGTTTAGATTAAATTCAGTTGTAAGAGTACAAATTTTCTTTACAGCATTAGTGAGTTTTATATGTCAGAAATAAGTTGTGACCGTACCTACCTTTGATTCAGTTAACATTTCTTGATCAAAGAGAATCCTGAGGAAGCAACACGATCTCAGCTTGTCATAGTGACGAGCTCCGTCCTGCAAAAGCAATAGAACAATCTTGTGGTATCAATGGGATAGTCTTACATTAATAACAGAATATTCTGGAAAAGCAATAAGATTGTAATGTTTCAGTATCAAAGTGTTCTGTGCTACCAACAGAATAAATTCATTATTAATTCTGTCCATAGTTGAAAAAAAATTCTGTTAAAAATAAAAGTAGATCATCAACTTATAGTTGATAACTAACTAACTAATAACTCATGACATTATAATGAGTATCATAATCATAATATTATGCAATAAATTTTCGATCAATGAGACATTGATTACACAGTTCAAAGTACTTAAATCCTTTATTTGATACTTGACTATTTTATTACATAAAGCTCTATCTAGATCTCTTAAACTTCAAATTTACACGCTCTGCTGGTCTGGGAACGCTTAGGATGATCATACATCTTAACTCGTTCATTTAACAGGCAAAAGGTTGAGTTAAATCACTTTGTAGATTTTTGGAGTTGTAACTTAGACTTTATTAATTAAGTAGCTTGTTCCTGCGACTTTGTTCGCGTAGATACTATTTATCTGATATGAAATGAAATAATTGATGCACAAAATTTCAAAAATATGTCTTTTCGACTAATCAGAAGAATCTCTAATTCATTGTAAATGATAAATGTGATATAATTACGTTACATAATAGTAAATCGATCAATAAAAATTTTAGTTCTCCGGAGAGTTGAAGCTTTTCAAACGTAGGACCTGGAAGGTTGTAGCCTTCCGACCAAGAGTTAGTGCTCTTGGTGTTAGCTAGCAATCGAGAGTTGGTGCTCACGATTACGACCGTGTAGGAGTTGTAGCTCTTCGTCGACGAGTTGGAGCTCGTCGTTTACCTAGGTAAGGTTGTAGCTTTCCTCCTGAGAGTTGTTAGCTCTCAGAGTATCCCGGGTTGAGTTGTAGCTCGACCGATTAGGGTTTAGGTTTAAGGGTAGACATTTTTGGGGTGGGTTTTTATGATATCAACTCTCTCTCGAGTACAAAGGCATTTTAAGTTAAAATTTATTTGTAAAGCTGGACAATTGGAAATTTCGAATAGAATAAACATATGTTGTAAATTGTTTATATAATAAAGTTGGAATTGGATTTTAATTTGTGTTCAGACAAATTACTTAATTTTTTGTAAAGCTGAATTTATAAATACTCATAAATTTTTTTTAATGTTGCTTCATATATCAATCTATAAATTTAGATCAATTATAAAGAGTAGTTTGTTTAATTTTCAGTAATAACATGAAGTTTCCAAATTTTGATCATCATTGATCTACATCAATATATCCTTGCATAGAACCGTCTCCAATATCAAGTTCTACAGTTGCATATTCATCATTAGGGAAAAGAAATAATTCATGCAGAACAGTTCCTATCTTTGATAAATCAATTTCAAAGTTAGATGGTTTCGTATAAACGCCCTATTTAAGAAAGCAAAAAATTTAAATTTATTTTCAGAAGCATAAAGTAGATTAATTTTTAAAAATTTACTAACCGATTTTATTGGACAACTTTGATCGTCAACATCCATGATTTGGGCTACCAGCATTGCCATAGCTTCATCTAGGTCTGTTTCGGGTTCAGGATTACAAAGTGAAGTTGTTGATTCTACCATTTGTCCCAGTGAAGAACCATCTTTTATACTCTGGTACCGATAAGTTATCTAAAAATTATAATTAAAATTTTCTGATTGACTGTTAGCATCAACTTTCATATTGTTTAAGTTCAGGTACCTAAGATCAATTACAGACCGGTAAATCATTAGTTTGATCAATGCTAGATAAAATAGTAAATTGATTCATCACAACATCGGTATTAGAACCCGTTGGTGCACCTGACTTGAGTATGATTTTATTACTCGATGGACTTGATGACAAGTGTACATCCGCCGTATATAGTTCTACCTAAAAACAACAATTATTAAAAGAAATGAGAAAAATATATTATTTATTAATGAAAAAGTTTACCTCGCGAAACATATATAAACAGAATAAGACCAGAAATAATTGCTTCATAGTATCAGAAATAAGTCAAATACAGCTTAGTTTTATATAATCTTACCACTTTATATATACTCGTTTAATATAATTGGTAAATGATAAAGAAAGTAATTTTTAATTATTTTAATGATTACGAAAATAAATTATAACTATTATCTACTCAATAGACAATAACATTTTACGATAATACATTTTTCTTATCGATCGACCATACATTTTTAATATTTTCAAGTTTGTATATAATTTTTTTATCTTCAAATTATCAATAGCTGCTTCCAGTAGAAAAGAATCATCAAATATGTATTTGCTATACATGTAATGCAACAAAAAAATGATTTCTAATTAAATTTGGTAAAAATATAAATATAAGACAGAATGCAAGCACAACTATAACTTCAGTTTATTCGAAAGATTTGTAAAGAGAAAATAATCAAAGTTCATGGTTTTTGACTTTCAAGTTCAATTTATTCTATCTTTTCAAAGATTCAATTCTTTACTAAATTTTAAGAATTTTATTACAATCTTTTCTGTTTGTTAAAACCTTTTCTTATAACAAAATAATTTTGTTAGACTTTATGTACGTTGAAAACCAATTTTATGTATATACGGTTTCAAGATTGCGGGAAGCGCTGATTGTGACACCTCGTATAGAATATTCTATATTGAGGAGATTCGAACATACGACCGCTTATTAATTAAACTTACGCACGCAAAGAAATCGACGCCTTAGACCACTCGGCTATCCAAAACTGCTGGAAATTATTTACGTTTTCATGTATATAAAATTGTTGCAGCTAGGTTATTCTCATATTGTTTATAAGATGATATATAAAAATACTCATTGGTGAATTTGACACTTTTTTATGTTCGTGTTTTTTTATTTATTTAAGTTAAAAGAGCGTTCAATATACATTGAAACTGATTTTGATGGATAACACAATTTTTGTGTTGAAAATTTATTTTATTTATTATTTTATTTTTTTTATTTTCTGTTACACAAAAATTGTATTAGTTTCTGTGTTGTTTTTAAATTTGTGTCAATACTTTCATTTAACACAAACAATAAATGTTACATTAACACAGAATTGTGTTGTTCATTTAACACAAAAATTTCAATTGCTACATTTTTTTTACAAAAAACACAAAATTTCTCACTGTGTAATAATGTTATAAAAAAAGGGTATTCGATGAGAAATTGGAAAATTACAAATAGAAAATTCGCTCTACTGATTGATTATCAATTCAAGTATATTTAATACTTAGTTTATAAAAAATATCCAATTTGTATTTCTCAGATATGAATTTAAAAAATTTGTTTGATTAAAAAGAACATAATATATCGCAATTTGAAGACATAAAGGACTCTATCTTCAGTATCCGCTTTTAGATTGCAAAGAATCAAGAACATCCTGCTGTTGCCACCGGGTTATTCTGTTGCTATCATAACATCATCCTGTTGTTGTAAGAGGATGTAAACATATTGCAGCATCAGATACTTTTTTCTTTCTGTGCAGCCAGAGTACGATTGATGAGTGGTAATTGGCAAGCCATTAATCCCTTTAAATTTTAATTAAACGAAAGTTAGAGGCCTCTTAATAAAGATGAACATAGGATTCATGCCCAATTTCTCTAATGCTATGGACCGTTACTCCTGATCTATAACAATAATTCGCATGCCAGCTTGGTCACCGATGTTAATTCTATAGCTCTCCATGGCTGGCCGAGTTAAGCCAAATGACTGCTTCGAGTCATTATCATCATGCTGCACAACTGTTAGCGAAAAGCGTTGGCTGCTCGCTCTGAATTCGACAAAGTATCGCTCTCGATTATGATTCGCCATACGCTGCAGACTGTTTTAATGACTAGAAATTATCCTGAGTAATATACAGGTTATATAGAGTAATCGCTTGTCCATCGTAACATTAAATAACACGATCCATTTATCGTTTTACGATGCTGTAAAATTTTAAGAGACTAAAATTCATGATAAAAATTATTAGCTGCGATTAACTTTTAGTATTTAATTGTAACATTATCATATAAATGTATTATTATTATTTTTTACACTGTGATATATCAAAGAAATGAAAACTATGATTAATGTTTTAGAAGTGGCTGCAACAAATGGTAGTTGAATACTTGAGATTCATGAGAAGAAACTTTTGCATATGGGACTTCTGACTTACACCCAGTATTCGTGTTTAAGATGATCATTCCAGATGTCAGCCAATAAATGGTGAGTACAAATGTTTTATCCAAAAAATAACACGTTTTTTTTGCAAATATTTTCATCATGAAAAAACAACAAAAAAATTCACACCATTGAATTGAAGTTTTTCAGTTATTTTAAAACTTTTTACACTGAAATATTTAATTTTGATGTAATATTTGATAAAAAATTCAACTTTTGTTGATTTTGAAGTTATTTAGTCCTTCAACAGAACAAATAAAATACTTGCTATAATCGTAGGGTAGTATTAGTGTGATAAAACTCATGTACCGAGGTTTTTTATAATTGACACAGTAAAAAATATAAAAAAATATCAGTTAACATTGGAGCATTGTCGTTATACCGGTACATTTATCACAAGTTGTAAAATGCCGAAAAAAGGAAATAAAGAAATAAAGATAAAAAGAAGAGGACGGAAAAAGAAATGCCTGGATTAAAAAACAAAACAAGCCAATCCTCGTAGCTGGATCGGTAGATACACATAAACCTATCTGGTATTGAACTTTATTCTCGAAACGATAACAAATATAATGCATGCCTCCGCAGAAAAAAATAACAATGAATACATATAGAGCTTCTAGAGAGGACAGAGTTGCCGATGAGTGATAGCGATTGAACGACAAATGAGGATAAAAAATATTACTGTAGAATCGAGTAAAGTAAAGCAGGAGAGAACAAATATATTTGAATACTAAAAACCTGCAGAGAGTTCATGACTCGACTATTTCTTTCCTCTCATATTTGTAAATAGATGTAAGGATTTAAAACAACGAATTTATCATGCGAAAGTAATCAGTTTTTTGTCATATTCATGGATAAAAGGAATATTAGAATCAGGCAATAGTTATTTCATGGCAATTTTGTAAAAAATATCACTTTTATTAGAGAAAGGAGTAGAATAATATGTAATAACTCCAAATGAGAAGATTATTAATGGAGGAAAGTATTTAAGATTTTCATAACTCTATACATCATGGGAACTTATTTTATACAATTAACTAAAAAATTAGTTTTCGATAGGATGTAAAAATACAATTAAAGGCTATTAATATTTTTAAATACTTGAAATTCTCAAAATGAATTACTATACTCGGTAACAGATTAATTTAATAAATAAAAGTTTTTTTTTGAGCAGCTTCAAGTTGAAGCATCACATATTTTTATATTTAAAAAAATTTTTTTTTCTTCGAAAATAACTATTAACGATTTCGTTTTCCAATGATATTTCAATATCAATTTCTTTCTATGAATATGGGTAGAACTTGTAAAAGTTTTTTTACCCTCTTGCAGAATATTTTTAGAATAATATTCTACGATCATTTTTCTAAGTGTTATGAGCTTTTATAGCTGAAATTTCACAATTCACTTTGAGCTTTTATAAGTTCGGAAAAAATGATCGCATAACTGTCACTGTGAAACTATTTGAGAGCTTAAAGTATTTTATACGAAATGATTACATTGAATTCTATTGAAAAAAAATTCAAAACTCTAATTTTCTGTTCAATGTTGCTAAAAATTAGTTTTTTTTATTAAATGGTTGCCATTTGAATAATTATAGCGAAATTTAAAAAAAACTTGAAATTTAACTCTTTGTTTTTTTTTTTAACAGAATAGAGCAATCTCTAAAACCATGCCAATCCTTATAATAATGCTGCAATTTTGTTTTCTTAATGTCTTGAACTGTAGAAAAAAAACAAAACGATCACTCCTTTCACTTTCATTCCGTTGAATTTTCTCATTTTATTTGAGGTCTTCCAATTATGAACTCTTCTCTATTTTTTGTAGAGTTGTTCCTTAGTAACATTCAGTTTATAAAAGAAAATAAAGTTGTAAAAAAAACATCTCAGAGTATGAATATCGCAAACATTCGCTATTTTTCTAAGCTTTCATATAAAGTCGACTTGAACATTTAATTTGTGAGTTTATTATTTGGAAACGAAATTTCAGTTATGTCAAGGATGCGGAAAAAACGGGATTTACAAGCTGAACACAAGTGACGTGCATCAAGTCAAATAGCCCTACGTGCGGCCACGAAAAACGAGGATTGAGGTAAGAGGGGATTGAATTTAAAGGATAATAGTGAGGAGGAGAAGTTTCCAACCTCTTTCGTTATATCCCACGTTCTTTACCACCCAAGCGAGGATCCCAACGAATACACGGATGGCATCCAGACAAATTTCGCAAGCCAAAAGCTCGTAAAAGCAACCCCCAACTACAAACTACTTCTTGCCAAGGCTTCGAATACGATCTCCAACCCCATGTCTTATGTGTAGCGTTCCCTTTACGCGAGTCCTCCGACCAAAGCTATTTCAGTACTTTTCGCGGACATTTTTTTTATTGTCCCTCATTTCTGTTGGGGAATGAGACGACTTTCAATGGACTTTGCTTAACAGTCTGCAGTTCCTATAGCCTTAGACTCTGAGCTAATAAACAATAAATCCTTCCTTTTCACTCTCGAGACTCTTTACGATATTTTGTTAACCCTTAGTCATTCGCTATTGGCCTCAGCAGTATGACTATAACCCAGATGAAAAAGTTATGTTACTGCTCTTCTGAGTCTTATAACTTTATTATTTGTCTTTAGCTCGGAGGAAAAAATTAGCTTTTCAGATTTACTTAAATATTGTTTTATTATTTTTTTTTCTTATAATCATCAGCTTTCATTTATTTATTTATTTATTTATGTAAGAATTGTTTAATGTTAACAGAAAGATTATGTCATGAAGCCAAATAAAAATTATGTCTGTACTGTGAAGGAGTGAAATAATAATTTAATTTTAGCACTATCAGTATTGAAAAAAGTTCCTTAAGGAGCAATAA